CCGCCCTCGCTACCCCGCCACCCCCACTCTTGGACTGGGTTAAATGTGACTAACAGTACCATGAGGACAACTAAAACAGCAATTGAATCTAGACGCTTAAAATCAACAAAGGAACGGTTAGGTGACTCACAAAACACCATGGCTTAAGCGCTGAAATACGTAAAATGTATGATAGTGATCGTGTGTGTGTGTGTGTGTGTGTTTAGTGGTATTGTTATCTTTAATGGAAAGAATATATATATATATATATATGCCCGCGAATGTTTTACCCCACAAGTATAGCATTCATTGGGCCCATTTATTATCATAAAATGAATGTAGGGCAGTCTCTTTTCGGCAACAGGAGTTTTATTAGATGATCAAATTTTAATTGTTAATTTGCGCAAATATCTTTGACTAAAAAAATCTTTCAGTCAACTTACAATCTCAGCAGTTATTGTAGAAAAATTTGAATTGAAATTTATATTCCCTTCACGTGGTCAACGAGGCTATAATGGTTTCAATTCTAAGGACTGATATGCATAGCTTTGCCAGATTTGTCAAACTTCAAGTAAACAAATTCGGATTGGCAGATCAAGTATTTAATTTAGGCGGTACTTAAAGGTTCTGTGGCTATTCCCGATCTCATGATCGAGGCACGATCATTCGCCTATTTAGACAAAGTTTGGTTGATAAAAGGGAGGGAGAGAGAGGTAAGACTGAGTTAATTGTAAAATCGTTAAACCTTCTTTTGAAATGAATACTTTCAACTCAACTGGATGTTAAATAGTTTGTTTAGCTTTACAGATGATTAATTTCTAAACTTTGTCTCTTAACTTTGCAGAAAGAAGAGAGTCCTAATCATCGAAAACTCGTAAAGGACACCCCGGTTTGGTTTGAGGGGTCTTCGCGTGAACCACTGGTTATGAACTCAAACTTCTACTCAAAAGAACATTTGGTAACACCATCGTACTCACTTAAGATTGCCATGGTGGGTTTTCCGACTGAATAGTAGCACTTGAGTAGGTGACCAAATGGACAACTCCATTCTCCATGATGCCTCTAAAGGAAAATAAACACAGGTAATAATTTAAATTTAGAAACTATATTAAATGTTATTGAATTATAAATTTACCTCGAGCGATTTATCTTTTCATAATTTAAAAAAAGTGAAAAGTATAGTTGGTGTTCTTTTTGAATTTCTTCACAACATTATGCGTATCCACGTGTACAATGAGCACATATGCTGGTGAGTTAAATTCACCTATCAGCATGTGCCAGCATAGCGATAGCCAATACCCGTGTTCCATGTGGAAAACGCGTCGATTCATGTATGTGCCTATATTAATGAGACAGCACACTTGTTGTCTATTCTATTGATTTCGGAGTATGAAGGTAGTTTTGGCATCCATCTTTCTTCTAGCTATTGGTCTCAATGGTGTTCTTGGGGAAGTTTTCTTTGAGGAGAGATTTCTCACAGGTAGCCTTTAATTAGGCAGTTTATTCGATTAAATAATTTAGGAAAACACGATAATTGGACTCCTTCAAAAACAGAGCCGGAGAAGCTCGGCACAACAGAGGTTGTTAAATATGAACCTCCTATTGATGATCAAGAAGACGGTGGTTTGAATACTACAGAACCGGCACGATTCTATCGACTTTCGGCGCCTTTAAAGAAGACATTGGAGAACAAGGACAAGAATATGTGTGTTCAGTTTACTGTTAAATATCCAAAGGGTGCTGAGTGCGCTGGAGCTTACGTTAAACTTATTGGTGAAGACTTCAATCAAGATGAATTCAATGGTGAAACTCCTTATGAGATCATGTTCGGTAAATATGTTGATAGTGAGTATTATCTTTGTCTTAGGTCCTGATGTGTGTGGTTTCGAAACACGTCTTGTGCACGTCATTTTCTCGCACGAAGGCAAAAATCACTTGATAAAGGAACGGATTCCATTCAGTGTTGATAATATGACCCATCTGTTCAGACTCAACATTTTCCCCAATAATTCATTCTCAGTGTTTGTTGATCAGGAGTTGAAAAGGAACGGAACTCTAGTTGATGAATTTGACATGATCAAGCCAAGAGAAATCGAGGATCCAGAGGATAAAAAGCCTGATGATTGGGTCGATGAGATGTATATTACGGATCCGAATGAAAAGAAGCCAGATGACTGGGATCAGCCGGAAACCATTGTTGATACCAGTGCAACGAAACCAGAAGACTGGAATGATGATACAGATGGTGAATGGACCGCACCAATGAAACGAAATCCAGATTTCAAGGGTGAATGGCGCCCGAAACCAATTCCTAACCCTGATTATAAGGGTGTATGGACTCCGAGGAAGATTCCTAACCCAGAATTCGTCGATGATCCCACACTTTATGAAAGAAAAATTAAGTACATCGGTCTTGATCTCTGGCAAGTGCAGTCTGGCACCATTTTTGACAATTTCTTCGTCTCAGATGACTTGAATGAATGTGATGAGCATTCCAAGTATTGGAAGAAACGTCATGACGGTGAGGAGGAATTGAGAAGGAGTAGTGAAGAAAGTGGAGATGAGACCAGTGGAGAGATGGACGATGAAGAAGATTCAGAGAGCGGTCCAACGATTCGAACAGTAAGGTTTCAATTTTATTATTTTTACTTCGTTCTAGTCAACTAACTTTGGACAAGTGATGGAAGACATGGAGAAAAAACACGAACATGAAGTAGAGGATGAAATGGAAGATGAGAAGAAACGTCACGAGGAACTCTAAATCCCTCTACAAATCATCTACCGGGCTTTTCTTAAACTGTTTTCAGGCAATAGATTTTTTTGTTAATCTGTTTTTTTCTTCTTCTGGTTTCAAAAATGTACCTGAGGCGTGTTCGTGTTTATGTGCATCAGATGTACACAACTGTTAAACGTTGCTTATCCTGGTTAGATGTTGTGTTTATCAACTAATAAGAAGATTCGGGCTAGTGTTAACTAAGTATCCTGGATTTATCAAACAGGTTACATTACTCCAAGCGATCCTAATTGCGCATTGTATCGAGTGATAGGAAATATATACATGTAATTGAATTAGCCTTAGTAGTTATCGGTGCAACCAAACTGTGCCGTTACCAATATAAGGACTGTTGATTTATGAGAAATAAATACAGCTTGACAGCTTTTGGTTAAAAGAAATAGCTGTCTCCAACAGTTTGATCCTAAAATCAGGTATTGAATATTGGATCACCAACTTGGGATACCATGGGAGTTACTTTCTGTAGGCGAATAGATTGGTGGTGGGGGGGGGGGGGGGGGGGGGGTTGGGAGGTGAGGTAACTTCTACAATCTGTTTAAATCAAACCAACAAGAAGAACTAATCTCTATCTAATAAGGTATGAGGTTGTACAGTTGCGTAATGGAAGAGCATAGATGGAAATGAAGTCGTATGTTAAAGCTAGATGCATTACAATTAGAGAGGCTGTCAGATTTCGCGTATTAGATCAACGACACTCAGGCAGAACTTGTGTTCATCAATAAATCGACTTGCTTACGTACTACGAAGGTTTGATAGATGAATAAAACTACTCTCACTTAGTTGGAGAGGAGACAAAATTGTACATTACAGGTTAATAAGTTTGAAAATTTGCTGTTATCATTGGCTAGCTTCATTGCTATTAAGCGATTTCTCGTTAACGCTCAAATTTAGCTAACAGGATAAACCAAAACCAGCAAACCAATCTCTACTCAAAAGAATTATATCCCATCCGGAAAATTTTGATAATTCAATAAGTAGAATTATTCTTTTCTTTAAATATTAACAGAAAAGAGCACTTAACCAATGAATGCTAGGTACCTACATTCCATAATGAGTGGAAAAAATGGAACGTTTAGGAAAGTTATAAAGAAAAGAATTCAAGTATATGTTTTTTTGTTACAATAAGCGGTTTAAATTCAATATTCATGGTCAAAAGGCTTCAATCTAGCATAGCTATTAGGTAAATACGGAGTGTTCCTGTTAAATTAGATTGGAGGTGAAATCCTTGCTTTGGTGAAATGCAGTAGAAACACCTATTTCAGGTCAGACACCGCCATAGACATGACTCACTCTAAGCTATGCGCCCTAAGACTTAAAATGGCCATAATTAAGGAAGAATTTTCCAGAATTGACAAATTAATGTATTATAGTTATTATAAAATGGTTGGTAATTGAAAGCATTGTGTTCAAACGAGCTTACAATTTTTGTTTTAGACATGATATATCGAAACAAAGATGACTTCGAGGTACGTAAGTAGCATGGTTCACCACAATAAACGAAAATTTACGCGGTGAATTGCATTCAAGCATTCTCTGATATGCTATTATGACGCAATATTAAATTTTTCGATTTTTACTGACTTCAAATGGAGTTCTATCCCCAATATCATATGTATCTTGGATTAAAATGATAAAACCGTGATGATATATTGACATAAATTCGCTTAAATTATAAAGTCCATGTCAAAATCAGTTTAAGTCTGACTTTGCTGGTACTGTTTCGTATCTCAAATATTAAATTAAGGTATCAATTGACAACCAGAGCTTGTCAAAAATCAAGAGAAGATTTACGAATAGTCAGAAGCCAATTATCAAATACCTAATTTAGATTGGAATTATTTTGCCTGAAATCAATTAAATTGGAAAAAGAAAAATTTCTAAAACGTATGAATGATCTATCAGCCAATAGAAATCTGGCACGTTAAGCAATATAAGGTAATTAGGTGTGGACTTCTCTGATTGGTTAGCCTAAAGTTATGATTGAAGCAGTTAATGATCGCAAGGAGAGACTAAGTAACTGCAGGACCATATTTTTATTTTTCAAATCAAAGATCTATATGCATTGCGTATTCCACTGTATGCGTGAAATTAAAGTTAGCAGAGGATTATGTAGAGTTTTCGGAAAAAATTTTGTCAAGAAGCAGATAACACTAACTCCCATGCATAGATGTATGCCGCCATTGGCAATTGAAAGCTCCAATTTTCAAAAAAATTGGTCAATAAGCGAAATGCATTTCCCTAGTCTAGGTGTGACAAATCGTCAAAGACCAAATTCCGAAAACTGCCTCTAAATTCGAGATGGGTTGAGGAAAATTAGGAAAAAAAAACTAGAGGGTATTCTTGCATTCATCTGCCAGACTAAGCCACAAAAACAGCAGTTGTGCTGCTAAACCGAAGTCGTCCTAGCAAACTTTGGTCATGGTTCCTAAATTTGCTTATATATTTATATAATCAAACCTGTGATCAACAGGCAGTGGGGTTTATCATTTAGATGAATGCAATTACTGCGTAAAGGGCCTTAGGAAACTGATAGTAAAACTAGATATTTAAACTCATAATTTAGCAATCCTCTTTCCCCGTACACTTTATGCATTGAGTGTTCAAAGTAGTTCCAGGTTAAAAGGCGTATATATTTGATACATTAACATATTAATTAACATGTAGATGAATTGACCCTTAGTTGGGTGGAAGAGTTGACTAATAGACAACCTATCGAAAAGAGTTGCCAGTCGGTAGAAAACCCAACTTTATGTTAGGGATACAAAAAATAAATATGTCAATTTCATCTTGGTATAAATTTTTTTCAATTTTCCCATAAAAAAACTGTATCTTGCACTTGAGAGAAAGATTGCCCATCTCGAAATCAGACTGAAGATATTTCAGACTTTGCCTGCACTTTTTCTTTCATTAGGACTTTGACGTTAGAAAAATACAGAAGACTAGTCTGTTGTTTACAGTCAAGTACTTGAAGTACACAGATGCCCTTTGGGCTCCAAATATCTAAATATTGAAAAGAGAGTTTGGCAAATAAATTGAAATCAAGACAAACGACAAAGTTTTATGATATCAAATTAAAATTTCGGATTGAAACATATTTTAGGCATATCATCCCTTTCGGGATTGGCGAATTAAACACCACGGAAACTTACGTGACACTAATTTACTTATCTTAGCTGGTAATCACAAATATATATATATATTTGAATTTAAGAAATTAATGACTCATTTTTTCTCACAGATCTTAATTAGGACAAGAAATGGATAATTTTGAATGTTATATCACTGATTCGAATTAAAAATAAGCAAACAGATCCTTCAAGTTCTGTGGTTTAAATTAAGCTAAATTTAAGGAACTTTTAATATGAGTGCGTTATAATTTAAAAATTCAAGCATTTAGGAAAATAAATAGGTTTCACTTTCATTCAATGAATTATCCTTATAAAATTGATAGGGTGAAAATACATTTTTGATTAATAAATGTTAATATTTGATGAAATTAAAAATATTGTTCTACATCTTTATGATTTCAATGAAATTGTGAATAACCCTAGAATCGTTTTTATGAATCAAAATAAATTACGTTAAACCATAGGTAGTTTATATCGAAGATAAGTGAAAGGGCTTCTCATTCGTAAATGGTAAATGGCGAGCTATATGGTTCATGACATTACTGTCCACACGATTAATTAGAAATTGAAATATGTATTTATCAAGCGAAACATGCATTCGAAATTTATCTTCATTGGTTAGAGGTTTTGCATTCGAAGCCATTTGATTAGCATATAATAACTTCATTTTTCGATAACCTCTTTGAAATGGCGCAACGTATTTACTGATGGCTTTGAGAAATCGGATTTTGAACTGTTGCGAATAAGGAAAGTGAAAATTTTAAAAACGAAAAATTAAAATTAGGACATAAATGCGTTTGTTAGCTAAGAAGCTTGTTATCACTGAGAGCTTGAAAGTACGTTATTATTAGAAACTTTTCAAACTACTTATATGATACTAGGCAAACATAGATCAGCACAGGGTGCAGAGGACAAATGATAAAATTAGGCTAAAGATCAATTACTGTAAGTTCCATTACTACCGAAGAAGTGGTCATTGTGGCGGGATTGTTTTAATTGCACTTTCATTCAAATCTTGTTAAAAAGATAGCACTTCTGTTGGGACATCTTTTAAAGCCGATTGTATCGTATGCAACTGTTCAACGGACTGAACGCCTAGCAGACAGAAGTCGCATACCAATGTAGTAAATATTGAATCGAGAATAAATAGCTTAAAAAACTGGATGTTCTTACATTTACTACGTTTACAGTCGCTCAAACACAGACAGAAGGTTTATGGCTCAAAAAAGACCAAGTGGCGGCCAAGGTGCACGTTTGTCAAATCAATGGCTCAATGTTCATCCAGGCATACTTAGGAAACGCACGAATTTTGATTGATGAAGGATATCACAACAAAATATTCTCATGCGGAAATTGATTCGCCGAACAAGAGCAATATTGTTTTCGATAGTAATTTCCCATTGTACCCAATATCCTGAAATTAGCAACCACATGACACAAAACGCGTAGGTCCTAAAGAAATGGAAGCAAGTTGAAGCATAAGAGAGGAATAAGGCAGATTTCGGTCTGGCCAGCATAGAAGGTGGCAGAACTCGAATTCCTCACCGGGGAGGATTCCTGATGCTACTCTCCATCTAAGACTTATTTGTATCAAATGGTGGGCAGTATAATAATTAGCATTAACCCTTCATAGGGGGGGGGGGAGTGAGAAAATTAATTGATAGATGTAGGAGGCAGAAACAAAGGTAGGGCAAAGAGGTGAGGCTAGTACGGGTAAGTGGTCGAATATGACATTCAGTAAGGTCATTGTAGTTTGAAGTCAACTGTCGTCTTATAGACCTGTTTGCCTTAGGAGTATACGTTGTCCAGAGTGCTCTACGTGGAGGTAAGTCTATCGCACAACCCCGATTTCATATCAATGCTGATTTAAACAGATCAAGGAGTAGTTAGGATACAAAACGTCTAAACACCTCCCTGTGCCCCATAAATGGGTCGATCGGCTTGCTTTCCATACCTCATCGCCTTATAGAACCTAATAGCATCTCCGTCTAGTATGCCTTTGTCAATGTGACTTTACTTGCCAAATCCCTATTCACATAACGCTTTAAGCCATACCTATTCGAAGGAACGAAGAGAAGGGAAGCTTAGCTTTAGCCAACAATACAATTCTTCTGTTTTCCCACAATGTGGAATCGATGCTGGGATACCCGAGACCCCACTAAGATTGTCTGTTTAATTGACATATTTTTTGAAAAAAAATGTTCCTTTAAAAGACTTATTTTAGAAACCACGCATTGCAGAGAAGATTAGGTTTCCAGCTTTCAAAATTTATCAAAAAATCTCGGGGAGCTATTCCTGTATTATTCTAGGCCTGGAAATAGAAAATAACGTATAAACCACTTAGGCTCCACGAATTGCTTGATTTAATAGGAAGCGTTTGCATCTGATCCATTTTAAACAACTGGGTAGAATAAAAGCAAATACACAGGTAGTACAAACTTTACACGTTTGATTTACTCAAAAGGACGCAGAAATATAAACAGGAACTGTACAAATAACCAAATATGTCTTTCAGCGAACAATAAGCCATTACAAATAAAGACTGGCTGCAAAGACAATGTCCCTTTTAATCTTTTCGATAGCTGAAATGGTAAAAAAGGCAAACATTTAGGAGGTATTACATAGACAGAAGAATATTGCCTTTGAAAAGATGCACTACCTTCAGTGAATTTAGCAATTAGTGAATTGTTGCCAATAGTTCTAGCCGCATTGATCATCTGCCGAAGAAGTTCTTCCAACAATCGAATGCCACGAATGATAGCTCCTTCAAAGAGGTCAGTTTTTGAGCAGAGGGAAGCGAAATCGACACCCTGGGCCCATTTCAGCACAATATCCATCCCATAGGGTTTAAAAGATTCCACAAACGCATCTGGATCAATAGGTAAACGACATTCTCTACTGATCTTCGCGATGCGACGAGCTGTGTTCTGGTGAAAGGGGGGACGCATTATTAATAAGTGAGAAGTTGGGTTCTAATGACAGATATACGATTGTACACTACTTGCTACTAATATATTTTAAGCAGTAACGAATATTGGCCTCCATCAACACTGGAAACTGAACAGTAAGCAAACAGTAGTGAAGTAAGATAAAGGCGATTGCCAATAGAATAAGAACACTAAAAGGTCAATTAAATCTAAAGGAACGTTTATGAGCATAATACTAGTCTTAGCCTAAATACCTTACAAATGACACTCATTCAGTAATTGAATTAAATAAACCCAAATGCGCACCACTAACCAGTAAATGAGAGGCGTATTAAGTTTCTAACCCAAATATTAAAATCATTATTCACGGCTACCTAAAAAGCAACGAACAATTTAGCTCGATAACAATACTATGAACCTCAGTTGCCGACAAAATCACGGTCATTTAAGAATCTTACTTGAAGTGTTCGCAGAGCTTCAGCCATTTCACTAGACAATTCAGGCATTGTCGAGACTCGGTCATCAAAGATGAAACAGGAGAGAAGAGATGCAGTTTGTTCGGCTGAAAGTCGAGCGAAAATGCCTTCAAAAAGCAACTCTGTCAGGACCAATTCATTTCCAGACGTAATCTCACAAGCGACACGACCTTTCAATTCGATTACATCATTAGCACTGACAAATCCAAGCCTACGAAGAACTCGCTTACGAGCTACCAAGTCGTCCATTTGAATAAGCGAAACTTTCTGGGTCAGAGTATGAGTCACCTTCTCGATGTTGACTCGTTGTTTCTCTCGAAGCTTGTAGGCATCCAGGAGCCTTGATAAATCTGGCGACTTGTGAAGAGGATGGGCCTCAATCCTCTCCTTGAATAAATTCGCTTTCTGAAAAATCGAAAAGAAATGAGTGCTACACGAACATGTACGTGGATGAGGCAAAAAGTTCTCAGACAAAGATTTACAAGTTCACATACGTCTTTAGAGCTTCCTCCGATCAAAGCATGTAAGGTCAGAATCAAAACAGGTTGTGTCCCAAATAATCGAGCAATTTTCAACCTTACAAATGGCAAATTATAAGCACAAAGCTAGCATAATTTTTTTTCACAAAACTAAATTGGAAACCTGTTCAGATCAAAGAAGCTTTAAAACAGATTGATGGTGAACTCTACGACATGTAGAGCAGTCATTTGTGATAGGATTAAAAGCTTTAAGGGCGGAAGAGTGCAACTTCATAACGACCTACGAGGAGGGATACCCACTATACGGAAAGAGATCAAGAAAACATCTTTCTTGTGCTCAATCTAGTGGAACAAGAATAGCGAGTTTCCATTGAGAAAATTAGCCAATGAAGTAGGAATCATCCACGGATGAGCATTCTCAATTGTCACCGAAATTCTTGGCTTGAACAAGTACTCAGTGGATTCCAAAAGCGTTCCAGGAAAAACAACAACAAATCCAAAGAGATGAACCTTTTTGGAAAAGATGGAACCAACCGAGGATAATTTTAAACGCTGTGCCATGGGAGATAGAATTTGTATCTACCGCTTTGATCCAGAAGGCAAAATTCGGTCAAAAGAATGGCATCCAAAGAGAAGACCTGGGCCTGCCAAACTCAAAGCTGCAAGGTCCATTGAGAAGGTCATGCTCATTTTATTTTTGGGATTCAAAAGGAGTGATATTGATAGACTTTCTAGACGGCCAGAAAACGGCCACCTCAAGTTATTATGAAGGCTTTGTGAAGAAGTTGAATACGTCCCTCGCAATAAATTGGTGCAGAAAACTGCACAAATTTTGTTTAACCATGACAATGCCTGTGCACATACTTCAAGAACTGTTAAGGGCGTGTTGGTCGAATTTCCATGGGAAACACTTCCTCGTCCTCCTTCATTGTACAGGCCTAGCTCCCCTCAGATTATTTTAGTTTCCAAAACTGAAAGACCATCTCAAAATCACCTCAAATTATAAGAACTAGGTTGATTCAGTAGGTGCGATAAGGATTAGAGGAAAACAACTTGAGTAGCTATCAATTAACTAGTCACCCTCCATACTTTCTATGTAGCGAATCACGAGTCAATTAGAACACCCACGGAAGTGAGAGATATGAATTAAAGTGACGCATAAGAGAATTTGAAACAATCTTCAAATTTCGTCGCAAAAAAACAACACGAGAATACCGATATTCCTGGAAATGTACAACAAACATACCTCCGTTAATTCCATGAATTTCCCATCAGTAATATGCATGTCATTAATTGGATCAAGAGGCGGTAATTCATCCACTTTCAACTTCATCTTGCATTTTTCAATAGACGAGAAGAGCATAGCACGAGATTCCACAGAGCGCAAATCATTTGGGACCACCAGACGAACTTGACTAATCCCACAAAGGCAATCTAGACGCACAGGAATAATATCCGCCATCGGTAGCCCACATATCTCCTTTGGTTCTTCTGTGATTGCACTATCATTATTGTCATCCATTTCATCCGAGTTTGGTCGAGCAGATATGCGTGCTTTGGAAAGAAGACAATCGAGGACGTAGAAAGTCTCCAAAGAGGAAACACGATCACGACGAGAGCGTTTCTTCAATTTGATCGCCACTCCCCAGCCGTAGTCCTTTCCATCAGATTCAATCTATGCATAAGAAGTTCATTAGTAAGGTACACAATATTTGAAATAGGGAGTGTGAGATAGATCCACCTCCTCGTGGTGCACCCTGAGCAAAAAAGTCTATTAACCGGCAGCTGAATTCTCACTTCAAACTACCATCACCCCCACTGTATGTCATATTCCACCTCTACCACAGTACTCATCTTACCCTTTCTGAGCCTTTGTGTCTGTCTGTTTCTTTTACATCTGTGAAGTCCGAAGTCAACTAAAGGACTAATGATAACTTTCAAAACGTCTGCCATTTGATATAAATATTTGAAATTGACAATAGCATTATTCCAATGAATCGATACCTTTACAATTCGGCCTGGTTGAAGGTATTTTACAATGTTCGCGGGGCTTCTGATGTGCTTCCATTGTTCTCGAATAACGTCCTCAAGGCAAATCTGAAGCTTATAGTAGGATTCAACAGATTCCTCATTTTCTAGAACGTTGTGTTTCAGCTCTTCTCGAAGGCGGTTTAATTCTGAAAAAGGCAATTCCTCAATTTAGTTCATTCTGGGCAGGTCAAAGAGCAAATGCGCCCCCACCCCCTTGTAAATCTTATATCCTGAATAGCCAATAATTTTGTGCTAAATAAGAAAAGAGTCTATGAAAACGCCCTCCTAATCAAGAAATTAAGAACACTCCAATTTACTCGCTCGAGTCAATGATAGAGTGCTTAAAGTCGGCCGACCCAACTATAAAGCTACTTAAATTCTCCCTAATATGCACCAATCACAATGCACTAACGGAAACTACCAGGATAAAAACAAAGCGCTCAATGTTCGAAGTCCTCGAAAGGCGTTAAGGACACAAAGAGCCGGCGGCAACAACAACCGTATGAAAGTAATCGACGCATTTGGACTTTCGCCTTTAAATGTGTGGTACCTAGAGATTTGAAAGATCTACACTTCTTCAAGTAGCATTTTATGAATAAAAAAATAAGAGATCATTGTATGAGTAACCGGGGTCGACATCTACTTTCTCCTGGCTGAAAAAATGTAAACAAATTAATTGATCAACAAGTCATGAGATTACCTTGGATGTAGTTTCATCCAAGAATATTGGAGTTCATTCATGGCATTTGGAAATTACATAGACAATTATATCTCCTATGATGTGGGTGTGGAATAGACTTACCTCCACGTGGTGCACCATGGGAAACGTACACTCATACGGCAAAAAGACTTCTCGCTTCAAACTACCATCAAACTACTCGGTAGTTGACTTCTCACTTCAAACCACCATCACCCCACTCATTCCACTACTTCCACAGTAATCACCTCACCTTTTTTCTACCGTCGTCTTTGAAACACTCTTCAATCCACCCCCTCTCGACTTTCTTTCACTGTGATGTTCCTTCCCCTCTGTGAAGCCTGAAGTCAACTAAATTGATGTTCCTTCCCCTCTGTGAAGCCTGAAGTCAACTAAAGCATGAACCTTCCCTCTGTGAAGCCCGAAGTCAGCTAAAGGGTTGTTCCTTCCCCTCTGTGAAGCCTGAAGTCAACTAAAGGCTAACGATAACCATCAAAACGCCTGCCACTTGATATAAATCTCCTATGATTATAATAACAATTTAGTTCCTATAGAACTCAAACGAGATTATTGATCTCTTGATTTCATTACTTCCTTCTTCCTGGCACCTTTGTCTATTCCATGCCTAATTGAACTGTTTCCGAATTCAGATATCCTCCAACGATAAAAGTATAGTCATTAACCAGCAATGTGTACATCTAAGAGCCTGTTAAGAAACCAACTAACTTCCAGTGAGTTCAGGGAGACGAGCATAGTTCTGAAACTGACAGAAAGATCGTTCCATGAGATATTCAGGGTTAATTTCCTCAACACGAAGGAGATTGAGGAGCATATTGTAGGTGATGTGGAAAGCGGAGTTGAGAGGAGCTGGTTCGCCACAGAGAATAGAACGCCCAGTCGATTCTGTGAGAGTCTCATCCACCATAACAATCACGGTTCCACTGTCGTCTTTACCTCGACGACCTGCACGTCCCGACATCTGGATGTACTCGCCAGCAGTAAGCTAAGAAGAGGAATAAAATAAATCAACAGTGACGAATTTGAAGAGGAAACTTTTCCTTTAAATTGTATTCTTCTATTCACTTTCCATGCAATCTTCGAAAGTACTAACCTAAAAAAATCTGTTGACGACGACTTTATACGCCTTAACTCGTATTCTTTTCGCTATTATGAGCCTACACGATGACATTTTACCATGTTTCTGAGTCATTTATCCATAATGCCAAAATTCAAATAAAAATGACCTTATAAACGAAATCCCAGCTTGCGCCAAGTACACAGACAACTCTCATGCTTTCAAACCTTCCTCCGAGAATTATTTTTCTATAAGTCACCACGAACGTTGTAACTGATGAATTAAGATAATGGGTTAACCTATAACCCCCCCCCCCTTCTTAACGCAAATGCCAAAACGGATGCAAAGGGAAACTTGAAGGCTGCCCCACGATGGCATGACCAATGCCGCCAGATGGCCGATTCGTTTCACCTTCGTACGCTTACAAGAATAATTGGTTCATTTTTCTACTTATGGCCTTCATATCAACCTCTTTTCCCTATAAATGTCTGTCAATAATGATTCACTTAGACCACGTTTCATAGAGTTCACAATAAACTTCATTAAACAATGATCTTTCTGTCTTCTCTCTATTCCCCTATTTCAGCGGTTATGGGGAGGACTCACAAAATATATCCAATGGGTCAGAAGTAGGCCTCATCTCCAAGGATGACACCAATTTGACAAAGAGGATTGGTATAACCCTCCCCCCCCCCCTTTAATGAGTACGGGGGGTTAGGATTAATCGAGCACATTATCACCATACATTATTTCATGATTTGCTCATCGTAAGATGCCTTTCAGATTAGCCTTATATTGAATAATAAAAGTAAAGCGAACGGGATTAGGGCGAACAAATTTTGAACTTACAAAGCGATACTTGATGCCATCATATTTGCGAAAAGACGTGAAAATCACCGTACGAGCAGGCATATTTAAGCCCATTGCGAAGGTCTCAGTTGCAAAAAGACACTATGAAAATGAAAGAGAGAATAAAAAGGGTAGGGACAATTAATTGAAGTGAAATCGCCATCTCATATTTTCTGCATTTCCTGGGCATTATCTATTCCACATGGTTCCATGCATAGAGAATGTGCACGGACGGGAAAGACCAAAAGGCGTAAAATAACTATCATGCCAGAAAACTAGCACAGCCTTTCATCACATGACAGATTAGAATGGATATTAACAAGCTTTCACTAGTACCGTTGTGGAATATCTACGGAGTAATAATCGTTAATTCAAATCTCTCTATATGTTTCAATTTTAGCAATAATTCTTATTCAAAATCTTTTTTGGGTAAACTGAAAACTGGAAAGAGGGTTTGCACAAGACAAGAACAAATTGACCAAGACACCAGTAAAATCTTTGGTTTAAGCCAATTTGTCTTGACGATATCGATCCCCAATTCGGAATTTAGTGACACTATGAAATGCAGATTAGAGATCTCGGCTAAAAGCCAATGTGCGCAAAAAAATAAATAAATAATTTGTCATAAGTAGTAAGTATTCCGTGGTAACATACCTTAATAAGACCCTCACCAAAGAGAATCTCCACAGTCTCCTTGAGAATTGGCAAGAGACCACCATGATGTATGCCGATGCCCTTTTTGAGTAGAGGCAGAACACTTTCAACTTGAGGCAGACATTTGTCTTTGGGGGAAAGTCCGTCAATGGCGTTTTTGAAAACCTCCTCAACAACAAGCCTATCTGGATCTGCGCACAAACACAAGTGATAGAGGTTTAATTTTAGGACAAAGGGTGTGCGACAGACTTATCTCCATGTGGTGCACTCTGGGCAACGTATACTCATACGGCAAAAAGTCTATTAATCGGCAGTTGACTTCTGGCTTCTAACTACCCCACTGTATGTCATATTCGACTACTTCCACAGTACTCATCTTACGTTTTTTCCACCCTTGTGTCTGTCACTTTTACATATTTGAAACACTCTTCTGTTCCCCCCCCCCCCCCCTTCTCGAACTTTTTTCACTTTTCTGTGAGGCCTGAAGTCACCTAAACGGCTAATGAAACTATCAAAACGCCTACCATTTGAAGTAAATTAATTTTAAGACAAAAGGCAAAAAAAGACAATATTGGAATTATTGACTTTAGTGAGGTAAAGTAAGGCGTGAGCCAGAGAGAAAGAGTTATCTATGAAAGAGTGCATTAGTGTTGGGGTTTGGAAATTGGTTCGTAGAACAGTGGATTGAATTGACCAACGACAGGCGCAATCAGGTTAAAGTTAGTAAGGTAGAGTGGCGGTACTAACGAATTGGGTAAAATTGTGTAGCCCTAGATGTAGATTGCTTTCATCAAGTAAACAGGAGGAGACTTTCACAACAAATACGAACAAGTTTTATTTCTTAAAAAATAGATATATACTGGCACCTTAATCATAATAATACACCTCTTTCAATAAAAAAAAACCCATTGGGGAAGGACTAAAGCTACCCAACTTCATTCCTCTCTTTTTTTACTTTTCAAGATTTTAATGTTGTAAAAGTTAAGAACGAAGTAAATAAACTACACTTCCATCAGCATCCTTTATGGAGGATTAAATGCGATTAAGGGAAATAAAAATGTAACAAGAGTAGGGAATCATTAGATTGATTGGTGAGAGATATTTCCCAAATTGAATGAAATTATTCGCTGCTTTCAGAGGTTTTGCACTACAACTTAAAGGTGTGTGCCTCACATGCACTCCCCCCCCCCGTCCTGTTTACCAACAATAAAAAGGATGGACAAATGATTGCAAATAAACACAATACCACACTTGCACAACAGGTAGCAGAGCTTAACGCGCTTCGGATGCATCAGAGGGAAACACACCAATAAACTGCAACAGCATAACCAATGCGATTGATTAAAAAAAATTAATAAAATAATAGGCCCAGAGCAAAGCAAGACACTCCATTAAATCCAACTTGAGGGGACATAGTCAATGTGCAATACTAAGTTAATTGACAGACCTTTTTAAGAGACAAATCAATAGAACTTCAGCATTGACAATAATATGGCACAAAGAACAAGAAATTTTTATGTCAATAACAAATCTGTGAGCGCTGAATAGGCCATACTTTACCGTTACGTCAGCAATCCAACGCACTAGTGGCTTAAGTAATGGAAATGAAGATCGACTGGAAACTCACCAGTTAAAAAGTCATGATCGGCCATTTTCAAGGCATACACCTCACATTCCTTTTTGCTGAAACTGAAGACAATGACAGGCTCCAATTTGTGCTGCTTCACTAGTCGGACCATCTTCGATACGCTGTCATCTGCTCCTAAAAAAAACAATTGTTGAGAATAAAATTATAAAATGGGTAAACAGATATTTGCGCAAGATGTGTGCGATAGACTTACCGCCACGTGGTGCGCTCTGGGTAACGTATACTCATACGGCAAAAAAAGTCTATAAACCGGCAGTTGATTTCTCACTTCAAACTACTATCACCCCACTCTATGCCATATTCACCGCTCCCACGGTACTCACATAACATTTTTTTCAAATTTTCAACCTTGGTATTCGAAACACTCTTCTATTCCCCCCCCCCTCTCGACTTTTTTTCACTGTGATGCTCCTTCCCCTCTGTGAAGCCTGAAGTCAAATAAAGGGCTAACGATAACCATCAAAACGCCTGCCATTTCTTATAAATAAATATTTGCGCAAATACATCCCTTTTCCGGGTAAAAAAAGCAATACAGGGCTGAGATACCAAGAAAATGTGATTAACAATTTGAAGAGGGATAGTCATTTCAAGTGTTTGAAACACTTCGAAACCAGTGCTATATAAAACGACACAATTTCACCACTGATACAAAGCCTATGGTTTTAACTTGGAATAGAACGCATTCCAGGGCGTTTAAAAGAAGGAAGTACGACATAACGCCTATTTTTTGCTAAGCATAAAAAATTGGCCATTGAAAGCAACGAAGAAGGACAAATTGGACTTGATTAATAGCAAAACTAGACTGATAAATTCTAGGATTCCATAGTATTCCATTTCCATACATTTATGAAGGGAAAATATAATTGTCACAGAATAATGGGACCCACTTTCACTGGAGGGACCAGGTCTGAAGCGTTTGTTACGCAAAGCTCCACCGGAAGCGTTATCCTTGGGAAAAGTTGCCAACATCTTTTGAAAATTCTCCTCCATAAACTTGCCCTAAAAGAAAAATGGAAATAAGTGTAATCAGGGTCTTGCGCAAATGCAAAATCTATAAGAGTAAATATGAAGCAAGTTTGCAATTTGCCCATTTATAAGTAAGCGTGAGGGTGAGCGATAGACTTACCTCCACGTGGTGCGCCCTGGGCGACGTATACACATACGGCGAAAAAGTCTATAAATCGGCAGTTGACTTCTCACTTCAAACTACCAAGACCCCACCGCATTTTGTATTCTACTAATTCCACAGTACTCACATTTTTTCTACCTTTGTGTCTGTCTGTCTCTTTTACGTCTGTGAATCATTATTCTGTCCCCCCTCTCGACTTTTTGCCACGTTGGTGTTCCTCTTCCTTTCTGTGAAGCACGAAGTCAACTAAAGGGCTAATGATACCTATCATAACACCTGTCATTTGAAATAAATAAATAAGTAAGCGTGAAGTAAGACGACCTTTCTTTAGCGGATAAAAGTGCATCAAGGTAAAAATATGATCAAATTCAAAGGCGTTTTTTGTAGAAGAAGGACGATTTTGTCATCAATCGTTATAAGCCAAAAAGATGATAACACATTTCTCTAGGGAAATCTGGAACTGTGCGAGGAAAACTAAGCCATAGAAGCAAATGAGCTAAGTATAAGACCCCCCCCCCCCCCCCCCCCCCCCCACCCCCACCCCAAATCATTGAGAAAGGTGCTAAGAACACCTGACTTGGGCAGAAAGCATTTCAAAGCCTCCTTATAGACGTACTCGCATTATGTCATCCTTCTTGTTGACCTACGTCACTGGGTGTGTGTACACAGATTAAAACTTGCTTAATACTCTTTGATTTGGTCAAAATGAACTTAAACTATTAAGCAATTTACTCCCACGACGCTAGACACTTTTGATGTCTTTTCGTAGGTTTCATTCTAGCAGAGTTTTATTAGGCGGAATGACTAATCATACTAAACAGCAAATAAATGCGCGTTTCATAGTTTCAATAAAGGATTTCTTTCTTAAAGCGCCCTATAGGTAGTAACTATTCTAAACCTTAAAATATCAAATAAGCATTTAATGAATATCAAAGAACGCAACTATCACTGAGAAGTAAAGGCAAGCTTACATCACTTAGAACAAGTCGCAAGCCGTCCGAACCAAGTGGATACATGTAGTGCTGGAGTGGAACAGGGCGTGTTTCCGTAGCGACCACATGACAAGGCTGGGAGTGGAGACAGGCAATCCACTCGGCAAATTGACCTGCATTTGGTGCAGTGGCAGAGAGGAAGACATAGCGGACAGAGTCTGGAAGGAGGACCAAGGACTCCTCCCATACAACACCTCGTTCTGGATCTCGCATGTAGTGGATTTCGTCATATACCACCCAGCCTACTTCGCGCATAATCGAGGAACCTCTGAAATAAATATAAACAGATACCCTACTTAGAATTCAAACAAGCCCAACAAATATTTTGATCATGCAATAACAGCTAGTCAAGTGTATCTTGGATTCATCCATGGTTGTTGTTAGGCTCGATTAAACGCTAGTCTCCCATCTCTTTGTATACCATTTTGGCTTATTCAAATCTATATGGCTTGCAAAACTTTAGAAATATTGTAGTCACTCTCAGATGTCATTCAGTAGATTCTATTCCACAATTGGTAACAACGATCCTAGCTATTCCAACAAATTCAAACTACAACCTATTGAAAAGGTTTTGGATAAAATTGAATTAAGAAATAAAAAAGTACAGCAAAATCAAATGGGAAAATGCACTCAGAAATCATAATCAAATACAAACAGGACGAGTTAATTGCGAAAATTTTCAAATTCAATCAACAGGACCAAAACTGAAGCTATGCTCAATTGTAAATCAAGTAAATTAGAGAGCACATAAAATGCAAAAGACCGAAAACATACCGATACAACATTGATTGCAATATTTCAGTTGTCATAATGAGAACACTAGCGTTAATATTGATTGTAGCATCACCCGTAAGCAATCCTACCTCTTCAAACTCCTCAGAAAACTCCCGATACTTTTGGTTGCTAAGAGCTTTAATAGGAGTCGTATAGATTACTCGACGCTTTTCACCCAGGGCTTTGGCAATGGCATACCTACAACGTACAAATAACAAAAAGGTATAAAAAGGAATGATTTCGTCAATAAACATTTAAACACAAAGGACGCGTACTCTGCTACTACTGTTTTGCCGGCAGAAGTATGAGCTGCAACCATAACCGATTCATTATTTTCAATACATAGAATAGCCTCTTCTTGAAAAGGATCCAATGTAAAGGGAAAGCTAAGAATTCTCGGTCCCTTAACAGGTTCCAGCTTCTTGAATTGTAACCCTGGAGGATACGCAACCTAAGAATTATGTTGAAAAGAAAATAAAACCAACTTCATGTGTGCAAGTTTTAGAAGAGGCGATTTTATAAACCTTCACACGTGGGGCCTTGGAGAGAGTTGATTCAATGACAGAATTCAATTTAAGCTCCTCAGACTTATGGGCAGTTTCTTCTTCATCTTTTTTTGGTATATGTCCTCGGAGATTTTCGTCAAGCCTATAAACACGATAACGTTTCAGTGTATTGCTACCTTCGTTTCTTAGATTCCTGATTTTCAGTTTCTTTCAATGAATTGGACTGGGTGGAATTCGCCTTCAATTTTTTAGGTTCCTTATCATCGAGAACAGATTCTAACTCAGATATACCAATACCGAAAATGTCTGACATTAAAGACAACGAAGTAGGGCAAAAGGAGATGCAATATTGGTGGCTTTTATACAGAAAGTTAAAAGAAGCATTGGCAAAATATATTAATTTTCATTGCAAAAAACCTAAAACAGTATAAAATATAAAAGTTTATAATTATAATATATTATATTATTATATTATATAATATATTTTGCTTATTTATTTATAGCATATGAAAGCATATATACAGGTTATAGGTCTTCTTAAGGAATAAAATTTCGCTTCATTTAAAATTAGACAGTTACTTCTATTTTAGCCTATAAAAAATAAAAAAACTAAAATTAGCTCATGTGAAGTATTATGTTACATAAAGATATCTTAATGTAATTTTAATCGTCTCACTATGAATCGAAATCTTTCGTATGTCGTTTTAAAATTGCTTATACAATTCATAAAAACGTTACAGCCCTAAAAACAATTTTTTCTCAGCCAGATACCAATTAAGACGAAAACTGTGGCTCAGAAGTCAACGGACACATCTGTAACATCTGAGTATATAAAATATACTACTATAGGCACATATCCATTAGTTAATTCAGATTTAATAAATTGTTTATTTCCCGCTGAATTGTCTTTTCTTATAGCAGAACACCAGCAGGTTGAAATGAGCTTATTTTGGTCCAAATTATGGCAGTCTAACGAAGCGAACCTCCAACAACAAACAAGATCAATTCAATCGTATATGCATGTGAAAGGTTACTCATCATATTATTAGTATGGCGTTTGGTTTTCATATCGACTCTAATTTTGATATCGACAATGTCTTCATCTAATATTCGATATTATTTGTTATGTTGCGCGTCTCTGGTGGTCGAAAATATGCGAGGAATAGGATTACAAATCCATGAGGCGCTAAGTGGTAGACTACGACAGATAAATTATTTCAACCGTATCCGCTTCACAACCATAAAAATTGGACTCAGCTACAAATTGACATACCTTATTGTGTTAGATTTAGAATTTAAAAGGGTTCGAACTTATGTACTGCTCTCAAGGACAAAAAGGTGGTTAGTTCCAATCATGCCCAGGGTGATCACACTACGAGGAGAAACGGATACTCCAACTTACACTCGACAAAATTAGATCTGGAAAATAATATTTTGACCCAAAATAAATAATACCTTTAAGACAACTTATCGGTAACGCGCAAGAAAATCATCAAGTAAGAAATTTGCTCAAGTGTCATAGCAATACCCACGGAGTCGATTAAATACATAAATCGGACAGGACTCAGTTTTTATCGGGAACCAGGAACAAGGTGATAAAAAATTTCAAGTGGAATCACCTCACTGAAATGCTTCACCACTTCTGTCTCGATAACTCACAATAGGCAATAGTTCATATATACATTGGACTCTTGTAATTGAAAATATAATCCAACATCCCCATCACTTGGGGTATGACACTAAGTGAACCCTTATTATTGAATTGCAAATATACTCTTCCTCGTAGCATTGCCACAACTGTCTGGTTGCTCCAATTTGGCATTGAGCTGAAGTGAGCTTAGAATACTGTCCTTGATAGCTGCACACAGAGTCATCGGAAACTGTAGGAAGTGCGACACCCACTGCATGGAAATGCGTTTGAATGGATTCTCAACAAGCAACTCAAAACACCAGTCGATTAAGTCTCATTATAATTCAGTGCAGAGTTGTTCATTGGACTAACAATCACTTAGTGCTCGCTGGGCAATGTGTACCCCTACGACAAAAAAGACTATTGGTAGTCAGTTGACTGCTGACTTCATATACAACCACTTCCGCAGTACCCACATTACATTTCCTTTGCCTTTGTGTCAGTCTGTCTCTTTTACATCTGGGAGTCATTGTACTGAAACACACCAAAAATATCGAATCGCTGTCACTTTGATGTTTCTCCTCCTCTGTGAAGCCCGAAGTCAACTAAACTACTAATGATAACTATCAAAAGGCCTTTTGTTTGAAATAAATAAATACGCGTTTGAGTACACGTTGGGAGATAATAGGACATAGGTCACATAAAGATAACCATTTCGTTACTCTCTTAGTTCCGCATTCAACACCAATTTCCAATTGGGAAGTATCTCAATAGTGAACTTTCGCCCAATCCCTGCCTACCCTAACACAACCACATCTACCTCCAACCTTTCATTTAGTGGATCGAATGAAAATTTTGCTCTACTCATTCACCTACAGTAGTCAAGGGTACTTCCTCACAACTCAGTCAATGTCGGTTCATATTCCCCATCAACACCTACCATTTCTGCACATGATGACGAATTCATAAAGGCACTTTACTTTTATCGGCACTTTTGAGGTCAATCTTGGTGTTAAGCTAATTAGTCAAATGCTGCAGTAATAGAACAACTATAAATGTATTCGATACCCACCAGCTTGAAAATATTAATGTTAAGAACAAATAACAGAGGTCAAGTTGAGGTGAAAGAATTTGCCATTCAAGCTTAGGTGTCAGAACACCAGACTTTTTATGTAAGAACTCTGTTCACCTAATTAACCAACTTAAATCCAATAAAGCGAAAATTGACCTCAATATTACTTAGTTCAATGACCTCAATTAAAGCTTTCTATTATATCTTTACGTTCATTAAACATTTACTATAGTAATGAATCTTCCGAATTCCATATAAGTAAGTAAAATCAAATCAAGACTAGTGAGAAGGGTAATAAAATTGAATCTAGTTGGTGAGGAATACAAGTCCGGCCCACTATGTGTTTGAACTAAATGACCTAAAATGCATCAACAATAGAGAAAATTCAAATAACGGAGAAATTTATTTACAAAGGGGAAAAAAATGTGGAAAATGTATCACAAAGTTGATCGAGAAACAAATTTTAGATATGATTCAGTCAGTCTTGTGTGTCGAGATTTTGTTCGCCGTCGCGGAGGCCTCTTTATTCGTGATGGCGGAAACTGTGACTGTCTTGATGGACTTGCTTTTGCATGAATCTCCCCTACGGCGACCTTCGAATGCTGAGCTACGGCTTCCTTCTCTGCATTGTAGTAGTTGTTCCACAATGCAAATAGCCGAGGAGACTCTGAAGACTGCTCTTGTTGAATCATCTGCCTAGATGCAGTCCACTTGCCACAGCCCATCACTTTTTGCGCACTCTTTATCCCACTATGTGTGGGTAACGTGCTTTGATTTAGGGAACAAGAAGGTGAAAGGGCGACGTTTGTTTGCGCTGGACCTGTCGATGAATGAAATCCAACAACTGAATGATTTGTGTCAGCAGAGATTTCAATATTCATGCCATTTTGACACCGAAAAATTTCACTGGCTTCTGGCCTCACTTCAGGCAAACCTCCATTCATCACTTCATCTGAACTATGTACGTTCACACTTTGAGGTGCAGTAGGAGTAGAGAGCGAGACGTTGGAATCCAATTGGAAATCCAACGACGAATATCCATCAGGTTCTTGTGCAACTTGCAAGGCTTCTTGCAAAAGCTCGGCCCCCCAATCCGCGCCTCTGGTATTCTTCACTGGATCCATCAAAACGTCTGTTCCGCGCAACGAGAAATGAGATTATGATGATTGACCTTTTCTCCCTAATTTATGTACCAATTCAGTCGATAGTTTCACCTCTAATAACCAATACATTTTACTCAACTCGTCCTTACCGCAATTAGTATTGCTTATCCAATCAGATCTTCACAACAATCACCAATCAGATAGCCATGTTATTGGTCCAGACGCGTACCAATTCAATTAGTTGATCACTATCTCATTGATTCGATCGACTGATTGATTAATTGAGTGTTTGTTCACTAAACGTTTGGCAGAGTGGTGTATGCTGGTGCCTCATACATTGCCACCAAAAACCATGATCAAAGGACACTATGAATCCTACCTCATCTGATATCATCACCAAAATGAGCTTGGAGTAGTCGGTCAGACTGGTGGACTCCCAACACACTGACCAATAATTGGTGAGGAATCCAAATTCTGTCACAATGTATGTCTGAAATAGCTGTGCTCATACCAAAAAAATAGATGAAATTGAAATAGCACAGTAATTTATTTATAAAGAATGTAATTACGAATTACTTCATAAAGTTGACCGAGTAACGAAGTTCAGATAAAAGTGGGCGAGACCCGTGTGTCGAGAACGTGCACGTTATCTTGGAGGACACGGTGGACTCGTTGTGGCGAACTTTGGAATTGGTGACGGTGGATACCGGTGTCATGTGAATCTTCAAAAATTCCTGTCGGAGAGGCTACTGTGTGTGGACAATTTTAGGAGGACCACTTGTGGTTTTCCTGCCTGCCCACAACTCATGAGCCACTTCTTCTTCCTCTGCATTGCAGTAGTCATTCCACAATGCGACAAAAAACGAGTAGTCGCTGCCCCATTCGCTAGTGATGCCAATTTGCTGCCAATCAACCACCTTGAGCCTATCAACTTGCCACAGCTCACACCAATTCATAATCATTGGCTTTTTCACTTTAATTGGAGAAAGTACAGAAAGTGTGGAGCAGGCGTTTTGATGGATCCAGTCGAGAATACCTGAGACTCGAATTGGGTTGCCGAGCTTTTGCAGTGCAATAAATCGTCCCCACTTCTTCTTCCTCTCAATTGTAGTAATCATTCCACAATGCGACAAAAAACGAGGAATCGCTGGATACGTCGGTTGCAAACGACTGACTGAGTTGTGCCTTAGATCTCTGCACTTTCACGTTGATCTTCGCTATTGGATTGTAGGCGGCAGTAGGGCGGATGGCAAACTCTTTGTGCAGACATTGGATTGCAGAGAGAGAGAGAGAGATAGAGAGGGAGAGAGGTAAGTGAGAATCCAATTAGTTCACCAATGACGGATATTCGGCAAATTCTTGAGTCGTGTGAATAGAAATTGAAACTTGAGTGCAACGCCTTTTTCGATCTTCTACCACATCTTGGCTACTTCATTTCTTCTTTTAAATATCATGCCTTTGAAAAAACGCAACTCACCAGAATGGTAGTATAAAAATTAAGAATTTTGTTCACTCAATTTACTGAATTGTATCATTTAAAATGCTGATTGATTGATCTCAATAGTAATAACTTCAATACTCTTAATTGCGGACACGTATGAAGTACATTCTACATTCGTTGTGAAAAATTGTCAATCCCATATAGGTAGGTGTTTAACAAATTGCGATAAAACTCATCAACAAATGAGGAAATTGAAGTAATAACCGAGATATTTATTTACAAATGGTTATAGGATGAAGCAAATGAGTGTACTAGTGTAAACATTAACAGGAGCTCCAGCAGTGGTTTCTTTTCCTGTCGTAGGAATAAACCTGATTTCTACCTGTTTATGGACCTCCTTGATGGGGACCCAATGACGAGGTCTAGAGAAGATGCGATCACTGGACGTCACCGTTGCCCTCGACTCCTGAACAACTTCTTCCTATTCTGCATTGTAGTAATCATTCCACAATGCGAATAAACGAGGCGTCTCTGGAGACTGTGCCTGTTGAAGTGGTGTCGCTGCTCCATTCACTGATGATGGCTTTGGCTGCGAAGAAACCGCCTTGAGGCCGTGGTCTTGAGACTGCCCAACATTTCATCAACACAATTTGTCCCATTTTAGTGGTACGAAGTGTGGATTGGATGAGGATAGAGAGGAGAAGGAGAGAAGTTTGATTCCACTGGAGCAGATGATGCCAGATGCTAAACAACTGACTGAGTTGTGCCAGCAGACATTTAAATTCGCATGTCAGGGACAAACCAAACAGCTCTACTGGCTCTTTGTGCCAATTCGGGAAAATTACCATTCTCCAATACAATTCCACATAGTCTTTCGGCAATGAAACCCAATAGGCCGGCGAGAAATTTGCCAACTAATTGTACGAATATTGAACCTCATTGGCCAGGAAACCGTCATCAAACTCTCCAGGTTTCATGCTAGCCTTTTGCCTCCATGTCACCCTCAAATTTCTGGGAGTGACTAAATCAACTATCACAGCAGCCATACTCCACACATCCGATTTCTTGGTGCAAGTGATTCTCCTCAAAATCTCAGGAGCTACATAGCCCGGCGTTCCACCAGCATAGTTTCTGTAGTTAGGATCACCACGCTCTGATTGGTCCATGGCAAAATCGAAGTCGGCGATCATGATATGGCCGGTGTGGTAGAGGAGTACATTTGCCGGTTTGATATCACAGTGCACAATGTCCAATGAGTGGAGATGCTCCAAGCCACAGATGAGCTCACAAGCATAGAATTTGGCCTGTTCTTCTGACATTCCACCATATTTGTCTGCGAGATCAAAGAGGTCCTTTCCACAACCACTACTCAACAGGAAAGCGGGGTAACCTCGCAATTCAATGGACTCGAAGTAGGTGATAACGAAGGGTGACTGCTTGGTTGCTGTGGCGATGCGTCTCAACATGTACTCTTCACGATGAATATGCTCAAGCCTATTTGGATCAAACCTGGTAAACAGCTTCACGGCGTGTTTCCTACCGACTCCACTACTATCCGCCCTCCACGCCTCATATATCCTCGAAAATCGACCTTCTGCCATCACTTTCACAAACTTTAAGTCACACGACGCCATTACGCACAGGGTCAATTAGACAAATAACAATTGAGCAATGCGCTATATACACCCCTCCTTGTTAAACAAACACATATAAATGAACACCCTTTTTATTAAATATCATTAATTGAGCAATTTTGCAAGATTAATAATTATGAAAAAATATTAATTGTGAATTATAAATAAATTAATTATTAATTATAGAAGAGGTAAGGGGGGTAAAAACATTGATATCCTAATTACACTGGATTCTCTCATTTCGCACTCAATGAACTACTTCGCCATTTTGAGTGTTCAAATACCTCACAAGAATAAAAAACACAGAAGGTAGTTCACACCACCACCAAC